GGGGGTCTGGGCATCACCTGACCCATACCAAGGACATGCTCTCAACGAAAACGATGTCGCTCTTGCGTTGACTTACTACACATCAGATGCGAAAGACTGCTCAAGACAAAGCCCGAACAAGAAGGATGTCGTAAGGCTTTTTATTGATGGTTAGGAAGTCTTCGTCACGAAGCGATTTATGACGAGATCTATTAGGGAAACCTACAAAGAATTCAAGGCGGCCAATCCCGAGTCAAAAATGGGCCTAACAAAATTTTATTCTCTTCGGCCCAAGTGGGTTAAGAAACACCCTGTACATGAAGAGTGTGTGTGTGTATGCTGCACCAACTTCATACTCTGTCTGACATCTCTGTCAAATGCAGCGGGGAAGACCATGACCTTTGAAGACGTCCAGAAAATTTTTCTTTGTGAAAATCCTTCCCAAAACTGCTTCTTGCTGAGGTGTGAAGCCTGTTCGAACCGGAAGGACATATCCCTCGAGATGCTTGGGATGAGCGCTGAAGATGAACTGGAGTTGGCACTGTGGGAATCTGGTGGCGAGTTGGTGAAAAAAAATTTGGAGGCCACTGCTTTTCTTAACGAACTCAACAAGTGGACAAAGCAATACATACTCCACTATTATATTCGGCGCGCACAACAGAGAGCAATATGGCTTGAAAAAGCAAATGTGAAGCCACGTGTCGTAGTCCTTCACTTTGATTTCGCCGAAAACTGGAGTATTGTGCTCCAACGTGCAGTGCAGGGATACCACTGGAAAACCAAGATGGTGACACTCTTCACCTGCGTTGCGACGACCACGAAAGGAACACCAAGTTTCGGCGTCGTGAGTGACGATACCTGTCATGATTCTGCACACGCGTTCTTTGCGCTCACAATGATTGAAGACAGGCTCGAGGAACTCTTGCCCATTTTTTTGGAGCTAATCTATGTTTAGGACGGCGCTCCAAGCCATTTCAAAAATCGGCACCAATTACACAAATTTCAGAAGAAGTTTGTTGTCAGCAGGTGGATATACTCGGCGTCAGGGCACGGCAAAAGCGCGTGCGATGGAGTGGGTGGTGTGCTGAAGCATCATGCGTCACTGCATAACTTGAAAACAACTGAGCTGAACTCCATAACTAACGCGCGTACGTTCGTTGAAGCTCTCGGCCAGAAAATCAAGGGGATAACGCTTCTCTTCATCGACCAAGAGGAGCTGTCCCGTTATCGGGAGCTTAAAAGGAAGGAGTGGGAGAAGGTAACCCCATCGAAAGGCATCCGATCTTCTCATGTGTGGAGCAAAGCAATGGGGAAAGGGGGAGGTGATGTGGTCCTAGAAAGAGTTTACCAAACCCCAGAATAGACAGAGCTAAATGGTGGGACCGTGAAAAGGCCGGACCGTTTCAACAGTGCGTTCATCCTTGTCCCCCTGTGAGTGCGCGCTGTGTGATCAGACGACGCGCCATAGACTTTGACACTGAACTGACTGCAATTTGGACAAAGCGAAAACTGGCTCAGAATCGCATCAACCTATTGTCTCGAATTGTGCTACGTCGAAAGATGACTATCCCTATCCCAGGTGTTTATCACTGTTCTTGTGTAAGCAGCGCCGTGTAGTATTGAAAAGGTACTGCGTCGACTATCCGTAAACCAGACGGAATTTGGCGGTGTTCAATTCGTTTTAAAGTTTATATTTGTCATAGCTTTGAGTGTATTTTATGTTAATTAGGAGTATATGAGACGTTTGGTGAACACATTTTGATATATTTTATGCAATGAACATGTTTAGGCTACAACATGAAATATTACTTCCCTTCTCTGGTTACGTGTCGCATCTTGAGTTTAAAATTCCGAACTTTATATGTAATTGTCATATTTTCTTATGTCAAACAGATATGCAGTGCATATACATATGTGCGATTTAGTATCTCACGCTTAGGAAGTACGGTTTATTTTGTGCGCATACGGGCTCTTTCGTAAAATAACGAGTATTTCGTGGCGTGTAACGACGAGCATTTCGTGGCGTGTAAGGCTTCAAATGTGTTAGTCATGTGTTTAGGTTTCATTTCTATTTGCAGTGATTCATGCCAGGTTACTTAGACGTTTCCCTCGTGACTTAAGTTTGTCCGTGAGTAGATGTTACGTACTTCTCTGTCAATACATAAGGCGAAGCTCACACACCTTTCAAATCACCCCAGTGCCAAGTAAATAAATATTGTAAGGATAAATATTGTTACTTCACTTGCTTTTGCGCTCAGATATTGTGGTAAGTACTAACGTTAAATAGAAAACTTTACATTGGCCAAAATTCTGCTCAGCAAAGCGCCTGTGCGAAGTCCCGTTCAAAACGCTCATAGCACGAGATTCGAGTCTTAATAGCGGCCATACAAACAATATATTACAATTTCTGTTGGTAGTTCCTGATAGACTACTATATTAACTAACTGTGAATAAAAAATAAAAGAAATAAAAAGTGGGGTTTTTTAGAAAATCGACTCCAAACTTGCTAGTTTTTCGAAATATTCGTTTTTCAGGCACATGTAACTCATTATATACTTGTGGCAAAATATTGAAATTATACTCAAAAGAAAGAGCATAATTGGCGCTTTACGGTGATATAAATATCATAAAACTATGTTGATTAGGTCACACAGCACAGCTTGCTGAACTTCGTCAAATATCGTCACAGAGAAGAGGTTTGACAAATAAAAAAATAATAATTAAGAATGTTATGACCTAGACGCTGAATTAGCATGAAAAAGCCTATGTCTAGAGTGTTCCCAAAAAGTTATATTGATGTAGCGTAAAAAGTAGGGAAAAGAGATAGAGTGAAATATGGCACCTCCGATAGGCTGGAAAAACATCAATTTCCACCTTGACCGCTTCAACGGTCCATAACTTGAGAACAAAAAATCCGACGAAATAACCGTTTGCGTCTTCTTTTATTATAGGAATTGCCACAAAACATATATTTTTTTCGTCAAAATTAAAAATTCGACCCTAAATCCGTGCCTGAGTTGAGATGAAATCACCCATATATATATATATATATATATATATATATATATATATATATATATATATATATATATATATATATATATATGGGAACACATTTGTCCGCTATTGTAGGTGATGCATGCCGCACGCACTCTGGTCCTCGCAAAATTAACCAGAAAAATTACTTGTCTGAACTTGACCATCCCTTATTTTGATGCTGTTTTTTAATTGTCACTACTACCTTGTAAAATGTCCTGGACCAACTTTTGTTTCACAAGAGAACAAAGACTAGATCAAATACTTTAAAGTGTGAGGAGTTCGACAGAGACGGAGTTATACTTCAAAAACTCCACCACAAAGAAGTGACTGAACTCGATCCTTGCTACACTCGGAGCCGTATATTTGGAGAGTCTGGCGAGTGGGTGTGGCGACGAAGTGAAAGTGAAGGAAAGGGAGGAGAGCGCCGAAGGAGCAAGAGAGAAAGAAGGGAGCAAAGTGGAGACGACCACCATTTTGACTCAACGCTGTCGGCGCAGAGCACTGTTGAGACTACGCATCATCTGCTATGGGCTTATTCCTTTCTCGCCTGAATCAAAGCTTGCGTTCAAACATGGAGAAACTTAATTCGTTAGCTTTTTAAACCACCGAGGAATAACGCTGTATAATTTTCTTGCCAGAGCCTGCCAAATAAAAGGAAAGAGCCGAAATTTGGATGTCGATCCCATACATTCCGTCAGGCGCGTGAATGAAAATGGCAGCCCTCCCCGCTCAGCTTGGAGCAGCCGGGTGTTCACGCGCATGTGCTCACGTCTTTCACTCTGCTCCGCGGGCTGATTGGCTCACTCGGGAAAGAGGCGTTACGACGGCGAGATCATAGACTGTCCAAACACTCCCCATATACAGCTCTAGCTACACTTTGTTTCACTGCAACTTGGCAAAGAGCAAACGCTTTGGCTCCTTCGAGTCAGTCAGAGCAACGGAGGCAAAGCATGTGACAGCCCTTACCAAAGGTACAGTGGCAAGAGCATAATCCAAAGAAGTTGCAGATGGGAAAGAGGAACTCACCTCTCATCCGGACCCTTTTTTCGTGCTTCCCATACGTTGCTTTCCTCCCCCTAGAAAACTAGCTACATCACTCAAGATTCGGAAAAAAGTGGCTCTCCTCTTTGACAATGCTACACGCAACTAGTGCGATGGGGTATGGTGATCTGTCTCACTCCGATTCACTGATTGGCTCACTGGGACCGTAGCCTTCGCCATTTGAAAAGGTTTGGTGAGGCGCAGTGTAGTCTGAGGTGTCAGTTTCTCGGGTTGGCTGGCACAAACTAGTTGTGGCGTACGAGCGAGGTCTTGAGATCAGGCCGTCCAGATATACAGACTGGTTCACGCATATGCATTTGAGTGTGATTGGCTGGGTTGCAACTGCTTACAATGAGGTAACACTGATGCCATCTATCCGATATTCTGCAGTATTGGCAAGATCAAGTCTACACACTATCTATGAGAAATTATCTCCTTTAACGTTGCCAAAATTATTTCAAGCATACGATGAAAGAATGATGAATGAAGTATTGTTGCGGATGGAAGAGGCTCGACCAACGTAAAACTGATAATAAAGGTTTAATCTGTGAACTTGTGCCAGAAACAAAAGAAAGAACGAGCATCGAGAAAAAGCGTCGGGGTGTCGGCAAGGCCATACTGGGCTCGGTATTGAACATTCCGCCTAGAATGCTGAAGCATCGGACACTCAGGAGACTGACTCGGCAAGGTCATGTCTGCCTCCTCACTAACCCTCTAAAAGTATGGAGAAGCGTTCCGTCCCGGCCATGCACGCGGCAATATATGTGAAGATTGGAAGTGTTTTCAGGGCTGCCGGATAGAAGGCACCGGTGTTTTCTCTCAGCGTCAGTGGTTACGAGCAGTTGCCACGCAGTTGATCGCAATCAAGCGGAAATGTGTGAATCAACCTTTAGCGTTAGCAGGAGCCCTGTGTGACCCGTGACCCTGTGCGGTGTGTGCAGGCTGGCCCAAGACGAGTCGCAGGGGGACGACGGGGAGGCGGTGGTGGGCCAGCAGAGACAAATCATGGCTGCTCCGGTAGGCACTCCCTGCTCTTTGGACCGACGGGTGCCCCGAGACTGGGACCCCATTTTGAAGCGACAGGCTTGCATGGGAACGCTCGACGGAGCTTTCTTACTCGTGCTATGCTCGCTGCATGAAGTCCTGGTGTTATGGTGTTGCATGACGTCACGGTGTCACATGATGTCATGGTATTGTGTGATGTCAGTGTCATATGATGTCATGGGATGTTACATTGTCAGATGATGCCACAGTGTCATGTGAGGTTACATTGCCACGTGACGCCACAGTGTCATGTGATGTGACAGCACAATTCCGCTGCTCAATTTAGAGAGAAATGTGTCCACATAATTTTGATAGGAAGTGATGCTTGTTAAAATCCCACAAGTGCTGTCGTGCCGTCGTTGCATTTGTTGAAATGTCTAGGCCAGGTGATTCTTTTTTGTGTATAGTAATAACAAGGCAACCACACCTGAATAAAAATATAAGCTCTTGCAACTAGTACGATCGGAAAATAATGCTTCGGCGACAAAGGGCATTATTGTTTGACAATATTAACGTTAATGACAACGTCGTACCTGGATGATAAAGATAACTCTACAGTTTACCAAATAGGTAGGGGATCCGGACGGAATTTATCTCTGAAAGGCTGTGTAGCTTAAATGGTTTTCTGTAAATTATTTAGGAGAGCTCTACGTCGGATAGAGCAAATCCAAAACACGAGGGAACAGTGGTTAGGGCGGTGGTTTTTGAACTGTGGGATGTGCCTCTCTGATAACGATGAAATGTCCTCAGCCTGGACATACAGTGTACAGTCTCCAAGTTATCTACCTGAATATGAGAGGCATCTTAAAAAAAAAATGTTGAGCAAATTATTTTTTTTTTAAGTAATTAGCATTATCTGCCGTGGGCCACCCCACTTAGCTCTGGAAAGCTTTGTGATGAAGTTTGTCTTCCTGTCCATCGGTTCATTTACAAACCGCGTAATTTGGTTCTGAAGGTTTAGACAAAAGTTGACGCACGGTAATCCACTCGTGCCAAAGAATTCAACAAGAAATTCTCTCGAGGGAAGGTTCCCTGACAAGGCGCTAAAACATGCTGTCTGCGATTCGGAAATGGGCCCGGAGTAAGGGGCGTGAAAATAGTGAAATTTCAGTTCGAGTTGAATTTGAATCAAATATTGTTGCAGCTGACCGGCACCCCCGAGGAGCGTGGGGAGCACCGTCTCCAGTTTGCCTACTCCCTGTGGTTCTCCAGGAGGGCACCGGGCAAGCAGCCCAACAACCAGCGCTACGACCAGAACCTCAAGCTGGTCTGCACCTTCGACACCGTGAGTGCCGCCGAGCAGTTACGCCGAAGCGCACCGCTTCGTCACCGCGTCTGCCATGACCACCGGGCACTTATACTGGTACCGGAGTGACTCGCTTCGGCTTTCGTAAAAATCAAAAGGAAGTATCTTACGAGATACATCCTCCCGAGTGACTCGTTTCGGCTTTCGTAAAAATCGGGAGGAAGTATCTTACGAGATACGTAGCCCGGACATACCGAGTAAACTCGTGTGCTCAGCTACAGAGGTCAAGCCTGAAAGAGTGGACAAGGACAAGCGTGGCCTCGTTCACTCCTTCGTGTTTCGTTCTCCATGTTTGCACATACAAGTTTATTCGGTACCACGAGCCAACCAGTCCAACAATGAGTCTCGCTAGGCCCAGAGATAGTTTACCATTTTCGGCGGCACATTGAATGCTTTCGAAAAACTTCCAAGTTATCGTGGCTCACCAGATCCCGAGTAGTTGGGCACAACTTGGTTTACACGTTTGCGCTCGAGCGTCATTGGCTGTGTTTCAATTACCCGTAGCTGCTTACGACATGGGAACATGACACTAGACCAGAAATTCTTTGTAGTATTTGCGATATTAAATTTCACATTATTTATGGAGAAAGCGTGTGAACGCTTTTTCTTCGTCAGCCGGTGACTGGGCCGTGTGGATGCGAAGCACCAATTCGTTTCATAGTTATAGTCGGTGGCGTGATAAGAATAGCGAGGTGGTGATTCAGTTGTTCCGCCTCGAGCGCGAGCTACCTACTTTCGATAATAGGGAGTTTTAGAATAGCGCACGCTAAAGCTTTACATACACAAAGAATAGCGTCATTGCCACTGCACAGGTGCCGAACGCTAACCACGTTTTGCGCTTTGCATGCGCTATTTTTTGGAAATTGCGTGCGTACACAAAGAGTCTTTGCGCTCCTCCAAGGAGGATTCGTGACGAGCAGTTGGCTAAAGCCAACACGAGCGCAGTTAAAAAATGGCGACTCTCAGGACCATGGCTGCAGCTGTTTTGGCAGCATCATGAGCGCGTCGGCGGCGGTATCTTCGCGACGGCGATTTTAAATACGGGACGATATTGCACTCGGTTTGGAAAACCCAGTAAGGTGGACAACTTCACCGGCGACTTGATGCTTGCGACACGCGAACATTTCTCGGCGAAGGTACGGTGCACGAAGGTCAGTACACGAGACTCCTCTTGTTGAGGCAACGCAAGCGGACACGACCGGTCGACCGTTCGCGTCGCATTCCCATGTTTAAATAAATCTAAAATGTTACTCTGAACAAAAAAGACTTGTTTCTTCTCAAGTTACAGCATTTCGTGTGTGAAATAAAAATTGACTACCTTGCTGGCATTTCAAGCGCAAGATGCTTTGACTTATTCGTCGTGGTGTGTTCTAGAATTCTATTTTAGAACACACTTGCATATCATGCGCTAACACAAGTGCTAAATTTAGCGCAAGCATGCACTAAAATTGTGTACGTTATTCGAAAACTTCCTAATATGCCGGCATCTCATGAGCCTCGAGTGTGCATCTGAAAGAATATAGACAGAGGCACGGCTGGGCCTCTGTCGTTCCGCAGCTGTTTAGTTTTGTTTGTGAAACTCATTCGGCTCATTCGTTCTGTGCATCTCGAAGGAAAGGTGTGGTGCAGCTCAAGAACCCGGTTTATCTGGGTGGCTCCTGGTTTGTGCTGGTGTGCAGGTTGAACAGTTCTGGAGGAACTACAGCCACCTCATGCGACCCTCGGAGTTGTCTGGACACAGCGACTACCATCTCTTCAAGGAGGGCATCAAACCCATGTGGGAGGTGCGTGTGACCATCTATGCTTGTTCATTCGTGCCACATGCGTGTTCCTGGAATTTCATAAAATTTGTTTGTGGGGCGGGGTCCCTGTGACTGCATTAGTGCACCCAATGCTCCTTTTCGACAGTTACCCTTATACCAGTGACTCGGGAAATCTTGTTATGCAGTTGAACCTTGATGTAACGAACCTCACTGTAAAAGAATCCCAGTTTAAACAAAGTACCACATTTTTCATAACTTTTTGCACATAGAAAACTGTATTTTAGCCTGATATAACGAAGTAATTTCTTTGGCTATTTCAATATAACGAAGTGGCATCGCCGTAAAATACCAATAAAAAAAGGCCCTAAAGGAATATTTCAAAAAAAGGAGTGAAGAATGTAAAAAAAATTTACTGTGACTGCGAGTGCTTGAAAATGTCACTTCACACGGACAGGCCTCGGAGCGTGACGCGGGCAGCACTGGGAGGCGAAGTCGCAGAAAGCGCCATCTCGGAGAATACCCACAAGGTGCCTCTGTTGAGTTTGGAGTGCATGATGTGTGGTGTTGAGCGAAGACGAGAGGGGGCGCAAGTGTAACCTGCATACTTTCCGTGCTGGTTCGGGCGTTCCAGTCCGTGTTTAGGCCTCGTTTTGTTGCTTGCTTTGCTTTGCTTCTCTCATCCGACTGTACATACTTCGTCCTCTCTCAGGTGCTTTGCCACCATGAGTGACGGTATACGCAAAGTGCTTTCACTTGAAGAGAAGTAAAAAATCCTGCAAGCCATTTCATACGGCGAAAAGAAGAAGAAGAAGGATGGTTGCGGCCTGATTTGAGATACCGCAGAGCTTGCTTTCGACGATTTTAAAAGTAAAAGAGAGTATCCTCAGTGCTCTGAAAATTGGCACAATTTCCCAGTGAGAACGGCTGAAGCCCGCCTCCTACCCAGACGTGGACAAGGCAGTTTTCTCCTGGTTTGTGGATACCCGGGCACTAGACGTTGCAATGAGTGGTGCTGTCATAAAGCAGAAGACGAAGGGCTTCGGATGCCTGTTGTACCACGATGACTTCAATGCAAGCAGTGGATAGCTCCATTGGTTCAAAACTCTGCACAAGATCGTCGGGACGATGGTGAGCGGAGAGTTGGCGCTGGCCGATGCACCTGAAGCTGCTGCTTGGCTTGAGAAAGAGATGATAGGAATCTTGACGCACTATCAGCCAGCAGACGTCTACAACACAGACGAAACGGGATTCTTCTACCAAATGCTTCCGAACCAGACGCTGGCTCTCAAAGGAGACCACTGCCACGGAGGAACACAGCAGGTCTGCGGATCACAGTTCTGCTGTGTGTGAACGTGGATGCCGGTGACAAGCGGTTGCCGTTTATTATTGGGAAGAGCAAGAAGCCGAAATGTTTTAGAGGTGCTTGAGAGCTTTAGATCGAGAACACTTTGAACTCGAAGGTGTGGTGGATGACCCGCGACATCTTCCAAGGTTGGCTCCAGAAGTTCGACGAGAAGATGAGGGATGACTACCCCAGTGTGTGCCTGGTGCTCTACAACTGTTCTGCCCACCACATTGAGGACCTGGAATTGACCAACGTGGTGCTGAAGTTTCTTCCACCCAACTGCACGTTGCTGATCCAGCCGCTCGACCAGGGCATCATAAACAGCGTCAAGTGCTCGTATCAGCGGCGGCTGATTGACAAGCTTCTGCTCGATCTTCGCTTGAAGCACCAAACGCAAGTGGACATCTTTCAAGCTTTCGAGATGCTTTCTGCTTTGTGGAAGGTCACAGCGAAGGTGGTCATCAAGAACTCCTCAGGAAAGCTGGCTTCGAAACACCAGCAGCCAGTGCCGCCGAGGAAGTGGACAGCGAGGAACCAAAGGGAGGGCCTTCGTCCTCCTCTACCATTCCTAGAGAAAGTGAGTGCGATGAAAGCCGAGAAGCTGTCCTGGAGGAAGACGAGCACGACCAAGAGGCTCTTTTGGGTGTATGGTAGTTCCTTCACAGTAACGGAGTCGTTTTGAATGGTGTCACTTTGGAGGACTTTCTCTATGGGGACTCGTGTGTCGTCGGGACGGAAGAAGTTACCGATGCTTCCATCACGAAGGATGTGCTTGGCGAATGGGAAAACGATAACAGCGAGGCGGACACCGAAGACACTTGCGAGGGGCCGGGCAGCCGTGAAGTGCTTGACGCGATTGACGTGCTGGGGCGGTAGACCAGTGCACATGAGCAACAACAGGCGATGCATGCAATTCGAGTGTTTGAACGCCATGTGACGCCTATATTAGTGTTGCAAAAGTTGCTGGCTTCTGGTGAGTGTTTGCACCCGTAACACATCTCATTGATTTTTTACGTGCTAGGCACCGAATTTTGATGTAAAGAAATTCAATGTAACGAAGTAAATTGTGGATTTTACCAACTTTGTTAAATCGAGGTTCAACTGTAATTGATTTGTGACCGTATTTACTTAGTCACCGAATGGGTTTTCAGAGTGCCAAAACTCCCAAGCTCTGCGCTGTGGCACTCAAATTCATCCGTATGCGTGCCGCCATTTGAGAGCCTTGCATAGTACGCTGTACGATAACTACTCATTGTGCGCTGTTGGCATTGTCAACAGGTCTTTCAGGTAAGTGTGTGGTGCTGTGAATAGCCACCATATACCAATTACAACATCATTTACATTGCAGTCTAGCTGCACTCGTGTAATCATTACTCCACGGTTCACATTAAAGACACCAGGCTAGCTGTTGACCGCACTGGTAAAATATCTCATTTTCAGGTGAGACACCTATCACTCTCTAAATATCCAGAAAGACCAATAATTCACTCGATGAGGGTGGTCTGGGCCGTGTTCCCATTGCAGTGGCTAACTTCATCACTCTAAGCTTAGCTGCTGCTTCTGTAATTGCATTAAGCCGCTGGCATTTTGTTTTTTTGTTCACGCTTTTTGAGCATTCAAAAGACCGTCGTATGAAGGCAGCAGAATTTTCTCGATTTATTTACTACTGCATAAAGATGTTCAGGACGACAGGAACACGGTAGAATAAAACTGTCTCAAGTGCTTGTGATAGCTTGACAATTGCTTTGCTGGCCATATGAAGCTTGCAGCGAAGTCCAGTAATGATTTTCTTGTAACAATTCCTAAGGCGATTGGCAGTCGATGCGGTCTCTGCGCAAGGTTAAGGCAGACAAATGAAACTGATGGTGAGTTATCAGAATGGCTCTATTTAGAGAATCAATGATTCTCTAAACGGCAAACACTAGTTTGTGTCATCGTTCATACTACCTGAGGAGCAAGATGCATCTCTTTCACTCGGGACATCAAGTGACATACCTCTATAAGATTGTACTGTGAGGGCTTCATTATTTTTGTTTTGTGGCACAAAACAAACTACAGAGCAATTCCTTGCATTGTTTTTAACACTTCATACGAAGCGAAGCAATTTGAATGGTGCAATCGAATGCTTATTCAGAGGCTGCCGTTCTTCCACCAATCATTGTTCGTGCCAAGCTAAGCTCGGTCAAAGCAGCCTTATCAGCTGCAAAGCAATGAGCAATACGTGAAAAAGACCAGTGAAATACACTCACCTCGCAAAGCTTGCTTCCTTGCTGTGTGCTTGGAATTTTTTCGTTTTATAATGGCAAGCCAAACGCTCCTCTACTTCACAGTAGCGTTCTTGCCTGACGGGAAGCAGAAGAGTCTTGCCATTCTCTGACATGTTTCGGCACCCAAAGGCAAGCGGGCACATGGAAGTCGCGAAATGCGGAAAAAGTAGGTGCGTCACTGCGCTAAGTGGCTGAGGAGTGACCCGGAGTGCTGCAGCAGAAGCTGGCCAGCCACAATATGGTGGCTCATGGCAGCAATTCGAAACGGTGATAATGATAGTAACAGCACGCGTGACTGCTGCTGTCCAATGGTGCTGCAGGAAATCAAAACATACACTGCTAGAGTGAGGCTATTGTCGGCAAAGCCTTAAAAAATGAGAATGCGGTTCTCTGACGCAGTATTCAGTGAGACTAATATATGAGGACCTTCCAAATGTCAACAACTAGTATTGTAAAAAAAAAAAGAAAAAAAGCTTTATCATGCTGACAAAGACTGGAGAGCACGAAATGTGTTGTGAATGAGCTGGGCATGTGATATGTGTACATGTGATGTCACAAAACGTCTTAGTGTATCGCAACCATGGTGTAGGAAGACTGAGATGGAGTAATGCCATCTCCGGAGGCGTCAAACTTTCGTCCCCATTTTTTGTGCGCACCACCAATGGTGCCACGGGCGTTGAGGCCAACGACGTCCGTCTGCTACGCGCTGAGTGAAACGCTTGGCAAGTGCAGCGAAGCTTTGCACGTGCTGAACTGAATGTTGTAGTTAAACATGACACTTTTTAGGTGGCGGGGGATATACCTGGCGTTACATATGGCTATTCAAATAAACATATAAATGAAGGGCTCTTGGCCGGTATAAATTTTAATGTTCATGCATATGGCGCTTGCTTTCTTTGTTGAAGCAAGAAACGCATATGTGCTCTACTGTGAAATTTTTGAACATTGATGCGTGTTCACAGCAGACCTTCAGGTTCAAGTGCACTGTGCTCTTTATAAAATTAAAAAAAAAAAAAGATTATGTTATCGGCATACTTTTTAAGACATATTGTACATGTTCATGGACCACACCTACACACACTGTAAACTATACTTTATTTTTTGCGGGCTCAATATTTTGCGAGTTTAGCAAAGTGTGGTTTTCAGGGATATTTCTCCAATTGGGGTGGTACACTATGTACTATGTATTTGTCACCATGGGGAAACCTTTTCACGGGATCTATTTTTTGCAATATTATTAAAGTTGCGAAATTCACGAAAATGAGGTTCTCTCAAAAGTTAGGTCGTTTATAGTATGTGAAAAGTACTTGCAGCTGGCGTGCTACTTTTTCTATCGCATGATTAAGCCAAAACGGTATATTAAAACTCTCTAATGGAGTTTACCGGAAGACAAGTCTCACTGAACTTTAGTTCCTGTTTACAAACACAATGAGATGGACACGGCATAGATAAGTTTTGATGTGTGGATTTTGTTCATTCTGCAGAAAACTAATTTGTTGGCGTAATTTACAAAGCTACTTTAGAAAAGAGCAACATTTGGCAAAAAAAGTTCAAAATAGTATTTAAAAAGTAGCTTTGCATAACAATCAGAAAAGCCTGAACAGAAGAAGAGGTTTAATTAGGCAGACAGTTTGCCAATTTCTTCCTGAAATGTTTGCTTATTAAGCCTGCTTGGCTCTTCAAACTTTTTTGGTCATTCCAGGAGAGGTGGTGGTGGTCTACTGGACTACCTTTGACAGCTTGCACAGATTTTGAGTTTTGTTTGCCTCGTTAAGTTTAAGCCGTTCACAATGCTGATGCATTTGCATCGCAACAAAGTAATGTAAACCTTGCACCATGATGTCCACTTTATGTTCGTGGTAAGGAAACGACGAGTGGAAAATGTTCAGTACATATTCGGTGGTTATGTTGTATGCATATTTCTGAATTCTTTCAATTCTTTTAGAATTGCAAACAATGTGAGAACTCGTGTTGGCTGGTGGCATGTGAGCTCCCTGAGCACTCCTTTGCTGAAAAAAACTAACAATCGTCGGGTCTTTTTTTTTTTTTTTTCTGTTTTTTTGCTGGGTAGCTGGAACAGCCCGGGAACTTCATTGGCCCCTCATCTTTCTTGAGAGCGGCTTTCCAGAGTGCACTTACGAGGACGAGGCCCTTGCAGATAGCTTCCCACGATTTGGTCACAAACTTTTATTCTAAGTGTTTCTTGCAGACCGAAATATCTTGGCTGCAGCAGGCAGTCTTTACTTGGGATTGCATGACGCCATACTTTCAGGGAGTCCTCTTCCTTGGGAGCAGTAAAAAGGGAGAGCTTCTCTGTGCATGTATTGTATCCTGCGTTACTGCGTGGTGCGAAGCACTTCTTCCCTATTATTGGCAACTTCTGGAAGCTAACCCCCTGGAAACAAAGCAAGAACCCCACGAAAACCGCTTAAAACTGCGCATTGTTGTAGCCCGGCGCACCCTACCGCTCATAAAAAAACGGCCTCCTCAGCCTCCGGATTGGTGGCACGCCCTGGCGACGGGAGAGAATCGCGTTCCGATCTTTGACATGGCAGCTCTTCGGCGGAGGCGCAGTGTTACGCCACCTGAAGATTTTCTATCCCTGTTATCATGACGTCTTGGTGTCACATGACATCATGATGTTACTTTACATTAGATTCACGTGGTGTCATGAAATCAAGTTGTCATGCGACATCAGGGTGTCATTTGACACCATGGTGTCACATGACTAGTTTCATGGAGTTACATGGTTTGTGGAGTCACGTGACATTAGGATGTCATGTGACATGGTGTCGTGGAATGACACAGTCCTTCATGACGATTCTTCGACAATTTTCTTATAGAATTTGGCTGATAAAATAGGTTTTGTGTTAAAAATGTATGTTACACTTGACCCTTAATCGCTAGGCTTAGCAAGAATGTTTACTAACAGTGCAGGCTACAAGACTTGTTGTAGCGAACAACTTGCCTTTGTTTTTCTTTTCTACCTCGTTATAACGAAGTCACACAGAAGGGTTAAGGCTCGTTCACACGGTTGCGTCTACTGCGTTGTGTTACGATGCGTCGTGCAGCACAGCGCCTCCCCATTGGCTCAATATAAGGTCGCCATAGCAACAGCTCAACGCAGGCAGTCTTAACGCAGTCAAATGCAACTGTGTGAACAAGCCTTTAGAGGTTTCCTTGCAGCAATACGGCTTCAGCAGCACTGTTCCTAAACAAAGCTTATGTACAGTGTCTCTAGACTTGCGCCGTGACGCTGTGCAGGACGATGCAAACCGCACGGGGGGCAAGTGGATCGTGCGTCTGCGCAAGGGCCTGGCCTCCCGCTGTTGGGAAAACCTGATCCTGGCCATCCTGGGCGAGCAGTTCATGGTTGGCGAGGAAGTGTGCGGTGCGGTGGTATCCATCCGCTTCCAGGAGGACATAGTGTCCATCTGGAACCGGACAGCCAGTGACTCCCAGACCACCATCCGCATCCGGGACACCCTCCGCAGGGTCCTCAACCTACCCATCAACACTGTTATGGAGTACAAGACCCACACCGACAGCCTGAGGCACTCACCCCTTTCTCTCTTTTAAAGCAATAGCTTTGTGTGGAAACCCTCCACGCACCTTGCTTGCTCATGTTGGTCGCACCGCATGGCGTCAATGTCACATGAGATCACAATGTTACGTGACGTCATGGTGTCATATGAGATCAGTGCCACATGATGTCATGGTGTCACATGGTGCCACAGTGTCATGCAATGTCGAAATATCACATGTCATGTGATGTCACAATGTCACTTGACCTCATTGTGTGACATGGCATCAAGGTGTTATTTGACATCACAATGTCACATATCACAGTTTCATGTGATGTCGCAGTATCACGTGTCACATGACGTCATTGCGTGACAGGATGTTACAGCTTTTGCCGCTGGCAGGGAAATGTTTCCGCTAAATTCCGATAAAAAGACTGCTTGTTAAAAACTCCATCATGTGCTATCACACTTTCATGGCACTTGACTGAATGTCTTAAGCCAGGAAATTTTTCCTTTCGTTGTTTTTTGTCACCCCTATCAAGAATGTGAAAGTACCAAAAGCATGCAAATGACCAAGTGTTTTTTTTTGCATGTTGATGAGAGGAGACAATAGAACATGGCCGTAAAACATCATTTCCGTCAGCCAAGAAAGACGTGTGTGCAGAGAAACTGTGCCGCACATATCTCTAAGGACTGGCCTTTACATGTTAAAGGTTTTGGAAAAAGCGTAGAATGGCTGATTTTTGCTGAATCAAAGGTTACAAGTGAAGTTTGTGCCTGATCTCTAATGCCTTGGGGACTATTTCTCAGGGTTAATAAATTGTGAGGAAGTCATTCTCTGGTCTTTTGTCTGAGCGACATCATTGATGTGCCATTGTTTTTTTGTCCTCCAGGGATAACTCCAGTTTCCGGAACACTGACATCTTCCTCAGATGACAAGCATGGAGTCCCTGTGCTGGACATGAAATTTGCTGACTCATGGGACAGATCATTTGGAGACGACACTGTGCCATTCCTTTGTGGTTTGGAGATGTTCATTAAAACCACAGAATGTTGTTATTAACTTCTGGGTTGTCTGCTGATTATGGCATTGCTGAAACATGCACGTTTTTTTTTTTTTTTTAGAGCTGGTTTTTTTTTTTTAATTTTCTGGACTTCTGCAATGTTGAGGAACTTTTGATAGGGTGTGGTGTTTTGGTCACTAAAGCTTTAGAATCAATTTGTTAAGCATAAATAAAAGTAAGTATTCAATTGCTGAGATATTTGGAACGCTGAGTTGGCTCCGATTTTGCAATTTCTCAGTATTAATCTCCGAAATGATAATAATAGTAATAATAATAATTTTATTTGCTTTTGCAGATAAAGGAGGTATTGACACACAAGACAGATAATGACATTGCATTAAATGCTGCTGCTGGTCACGTGCACTACAGTCTGACGGGTTAAGAGTGCAGGGGACGCTCCACCCACAAAGCCCTCCACTTTTTCCACTTTAGCAAAGTGAAGGCTGGAAAGAAGGCAAAGATAGGTTGTCCTGCATTTGCTCTGGTAAAGTAAAGAGAGCAGGACTTTCTGGGGGGAGCTATGCTAGCATTTCTGAAATTGGAAAACAGCGCGCAAAAAGACGAAGACGACGAGAGAAGAGCACAGCGCTTGTCCTGTGCTCTTCTTTCGCCGTCTTCGTCTTTTTGCGCGCTGTTTTCCAATTTCAGAAGTCATGAACAAACTCGCTTGCATCGCCACCTTATCCTAGCATGCCTTGGGCAAAGTTTTCTGTCCTGTGGCTTGAAAGGTTAACAGCAAAGTCTGAAAGGAAGGCTTGAAGTGATTAAATTAGTCTGAACCTCGCAAAGACTCGAAAGTGATCTCCATTGACCAGTAGAGCCCTGACCACATGAAGCTAGATAGACTAATTTGATATTTTTGAGGTATCGTCAGTATCGTTGCATACAGGTGTAAACAGGGGCGGATTTAGAGGGGGGGTCCGGATGTCCTGACCATACCTCGGCAAACTCACTCATGAACTCGCTCACTCACGCTCACTCACACTCACCGCGTGATTGTGAGTGGCTGTGAGCGAGTTCGTGAAGTTTGAAGAGTTCATGATGTGATTGTGAGTGACTTCATGAACTCGGATCAGCTCATGATGTGATCGTGAGCGACTTCATGAGCGTGATGAGTTCATGACGAGACGGTGAGTGACTTCGTGAGCGTGATGAGTTCATGATGGGGTGGTGAATGACTTCGTGAGCGTGATGAGTTTGTGATGGGATTGTGAGTAGCATCGTGAGCGTGATGGGTTCGTGATCTGATGGGGAGTGAACCTGTGAAATCTGAAACGTTCGTGATTGTGAGTGAGTTCATGAGTTCATTCAGACGCTGAAATGTGTTTGGCTGTTGGCGTTTCTTGCGAAAGTTGTGCGGCTTGACTTTGGAGAGCTGAGTGGCGCCGCGAAAGAGGGGGAGGGGGGGGAGGGATATTGATGGCAAGGGTGGTGCGAACCGCGCGGGTGGTGGAGTGTTTTTTTTTTTTTTTTTTTTTTTTTTGTAAACGTGCGACTGTTGTGTTTGGTTGTGTTTTTATTGCGTTTCCGTGCTTGAGCAGATGGATGAGCTTGAGGGGGCGTCGCAGAAGCAAAGCTGTAGAGAGGTTTTTGTGTAGTCGGCATGGATTACGGCGCCTTCCGCGCGTAAAAGAGGAGAGTCGTGGGCTGGGGAGGTGGCGTTCGCAGTGCAAGGAGCTGAAGTTTGTTTGCCAGCAATTTCATGGCGATTGATTGAAAGCACGTTTATTGTCGAGTTGTGTTCGCGCAGCCTTTGGAACGTTTGAAGTGCTGTGTGCATCACGCACATCGGGCTGGGCAAAAACCGGCGATAGCGGGGCTTGTATACCTATAGAAATGGAGTCATCGAAGATAGCGGGCGAGAATATTTACTTCCGCTGCCACAAGCTGGGAGGGGAGGGGGCGGGGGGGGGGGGCGTGGCACTAGAAAGGTCGCGTTTAGCGCAATGTCTAGCGTTACGTCCTGCGGAAACCGAAATAAAAATTAAAGTTACGTCCGAGGTAAGTTTACCCCAAGGCTGCGAGTTACGTCCGACGTAACCCAATATGAAAATTAAAGTTACGTCCGACTGAACACGAAATAAAAATTAAAGTTACGTCCGACCGAACTCGATATAAAAATTAAAGTTACGTTCGACCGAACTCAAAATAAAGAGTGAAGTTACGTCCGACGGAGCCCGATATAAAAATTAAAGTTACGGTAAATGGATAGGTGGGCTAGTTGGTAGATGTTTAACTTGCGAAGCGCCTAAAAAACGAGGACACGAGGACGACGAGATAGGACCAAGCGCTTTTAACCGATCAACGAATGCTGCATCGGACGTAACGTAGTAATAATTCACGATATCTTTTCGTTTACATCATGTATAGGTCGTAAAGTGTAACATTCAGTAAGGTTGCGTTGGTTACACAGGACATAACGTAAGCTTTTATTTCCGTCTACTTTAATGTTTACTTTAACTTTAATTTTGATTTCGAATTCCGTCGGACGTAACTCGAAACCTTGGGGTAAAATGACTTTGGACGTAACTCTAATTTTTATTTTGGTTTCCGTCGGCAGTAAAGCTAGAAGCAAGGAACGTGGTAATCACGTTTCCGAGCACGAGTCCACGGACAAAACGATGTCCGCGCTCAACTCCTGCTATACTTCGTCTAACCTTAGCATGGACTACTGTTAACCGGGAATGCTAAAAGCGCGAACTAGTTGCTTCGGATGAAGCTTGGTCGTCTGCACGAGACGATCTGCAGGCTGGTATTTATCGCACAGAAATCTTACATACTGTATTCTTTTAACGACATACTTGTGAACCTGATAATGGGTTCACAATCGTTTCCTAACTAACTCGCCTAGCTGTATTCTTTCCATTCTAAAGAGCTATTAACAAAACGATATGTTTTATAAGCTAGCATTGAACACTTTAGTATCTTAAAGGAGGCATGAAACCGTTTTCGCCTGTTCCGGCTTGCGTGCAATTTGGGGTTGTTTTTTTGCACATGTCTTTTTCGCACAATCATGCCTTTATGTTTGATACACGTTGTACGATTTTAAGTAAGCTTTTGTTGTTGCGTCGTCGCTTGTGCGGCCATAAAAGTGCGGTGGAAGCTACGGTGCTTAACGTTAGAGCTGAGACATCGCAAGCGAAATCTTATCATATTAATTGGGTTTTAATTCCCAATTTCCACATATACTTGAAATTTTCGATTGCAAGGTCACTCGTGCGGCAAGAAAATATTAATAATAAATCGTGAATGGCACTTGAACTACGAGCTATCTTTACTGGCTTTATGCCACAGGAGAACAAATATTACATGCACAATCGCACAACGTAATGTCGGCTTAATTCGGAGACATTCCGAAAGATCCCCAGATGGTCGAAATTAATCCTCAGCTCTCCGCTGGGGCGTACAGATGCCCTTCGTCGAACTCGTAAACGTTTTTTTTTTTTTTTTTTTTTTTTTATTTGAGGCGCGTGATTGAGTTGTGCATTGGCAGCACACGGACGAATGCAGTTCTCACATAAGCCAGAAGTACAAGCAGCGACACATACGCCTATATCCTTCGATAAATAACGATTCGTGATTCCTAAAAGTCGACAAACATTGTTCTTCAGACGTGCGAGAAACGTAAAGGCAGTACGTGCTAGAACGAAAACATTGTGTCTCGATCGATAGCTCATTCCAATACAATTCAGTGCTGCGCCGCCATTTGTTTCCAAGAGCCCACGAAGCGTGCACCTGCTCATTGGCACTTCTTTTTTTTTCGAATATAAGACATATGAAGCACATCGAGGGTTAAAGTGCCTCAATGTTGCTTGTGCGCTGCGCCAGCACAGCACCATTGAGGAACTCTATCAAGGGGCTTTAACCAGCACACTTACAAGCAGGGTGGAGAAAAAAGGAGTTTATTTAAATCACATAATTTCTTGCTGCCTCAATTTGTATGAACCCTTTCCGCCAAATATTATTCTGAAAAACAGCATTTATTTTGATTTGGAGTTTCCGTCATTCGGTAGTTTTAATTTAAACGCTTATGTGTGACTGATATTGAATAATCAGAAGGGAAGAATCATTTTTTGGCACGGCGAAGAAAAAAATAAGTGGTCCACGTCTGAGGTGAGTACAAATCAGTCTATGAGGAAACAGCTTGAACATTAAACACTTACACGCAGACAGGGGAGGACATACACAGAGCTGACCATCAACTATTTAATACTTCTTCTTCCTCCACCTCCTCTTCTTCGTAGTTCCTTCGAGCATTCCATGATTGCGAGATAGAATGGGGGGGATCGGTGGCCGAGTGGGCTAAAGCGCACACCCTGCTCGACGCGCGTGGAGCGAAAGCTCGCGCTGCACCGTACCGGCGTGCGGTCGTGCATCACTACTGCGTGGTGCACGTTAAAGACCCCAGGCTAGCAGTCGTACTGCACTGGCTAAATTGCTCATCTACAGTGTGTAACAATATCGCCATGTTCTGGCAGACTAAACTCCTGCTGTATAAACAAAACTAATTTGTTTTTTATTTTGAGATAGAATGCAATTTTAGAATTTTTTTTTAAAGAACAAAGCATAATAAGGAGTACATATATAAAATAAATAACAGACGAAAGAAAAATAAGAAAAATATACTACACAAACGAAAACTAAAAATTAAAAAAAAAAAAAAAAAAATTCTGCAAATGCCCAAGCAGATCTCATACATTTCTAATTTCGAGTCACAGACATCAGTATCCCGAGGATGTTTTTTGAGAAATTCTTCCCATGACTGCCCTCACGAGCAACGTTACTGGAGCAAGCTCAGTTTCACAGCTCTGCCTGTGACGTGGGCTCAGTGGCGGTCACGAGAACTCGCAGCGAGTCGAGTCTTGTTTCCGGATCGTCTAGCCCGCGAAGCTTCAATAGCAATACTCGAGTTTGAGCGAGTTGGCAATTCATACTAATATTTCACAGCGCAAGGAAACAGACGCGCACAAAAATAAATTTCAAACACTCAAAGAACACT